TCTTGTTTTATCAGACTATTTTTCGTCAAGTATTCAAGAAGCCTGGAAAATTTCATGTCTTCATTTGAAAAAACTCTTTCACACAATTGGCCCATTGGTTGTGTTGGTTATTTGGTGCTAATGTAAATTCATATATCAGATATGCCACACTATATTGCCTACACTTCTGTTTTATCAGCTGGGCTGCGGCCATATTTTTTTTTCTGGAACTATAAATATGTTCCTTGTGAAATTCATGCTAATAGCAACAAATTGCAACAGAAAAAAAAGAAAATATATAGCAATGAACTTACCAGGAAAAGTCCATGACACATTAATACAAGTATGAATGGTAAATTAAAAATCAAATATTTAAGAACTACAAATCACAGCCTTAGCACAGCAACATTTCCACACCCTTTGGCATCCCTCCACTTTAAAATATGCATTACAAGACAAAATATATGCAGTGCGTACAAACCTGGAGCCTTGGTCCATGCAGACTGAAAATCCGATTATCACCAGTACCCACGACGTCTGCTGTCTTACCTGGTTGGTGTGTCGAGTGTGGTGCACCAAAACAAACGTTCGGACTTCCATCTCCGACTTCGGACATCACAATAAAAAAAAAATATTCTTTTGCGTGTAACTCATTGTTAATTTTATTCTTTGCAAAGCAGCTGTGTTAGTCAAGTGTTCGTGACTTAGATCTTGTCATATAGATTTTGTAAAACAAATGCTCCTTTGTTTGTGATGGCACCTTGCCTCCCCCTACTGCCCCCTTTTTTTCTCAACGTCCCCTTGGGTCTTTCCACCTCCCCTCTTTGGGAATCACTGGTCTAAACATATGTGCTCCACCATTGAAATGATCAAATACAATCTATGCTCGCCTGTTATTTTCCATGCGTGATATATATGCACCACCAACAAAAGAAAAAGAAAAACTTTCATCATCATTCACTCCATCACTGTCTTGCCAGAGGCGCACTTACACTACAGTCATAAAACTGCAGCACTAACACCTCTTCTTCAGAGTGTAGAGACTGTACTTCCCATCTTCAGGACTCAAGTTCGGCTTGCTGATTTCCCTGAATCCCTTCATAAATAATACCTTGCTCACACTCCAACACCACGTCAAGTCCTAAAAACCATTTGTCTCTATTTGCTCCTATCTCACACGCTCATGCATGCTTGCTGGAAGTCCAAGCCTCTCCCAAACAAAACCCCCTTTACTCCCCTCCCTCAAACCTTTGCTAGGCCGACCCCATCCTCACCTTCAATCTACTACAGATGTATATACTCTCGAAAACACACTATTTTGTTCCATCCTCTATACTACATGTCCGAACAACCTCAAGAACTCATCCTCAGCCCTCTGGATAATAGTTTTGGTAATCCCACACCTCCTCCTAATTTTGAAACTACGAATTGTCTGCATTATTTACACACCACACATTGCCCTCAAACACGATATCCCCACTATCTCCAGCCTTCTCCTTGTTGCAACATTCGTCATCCATGCATCACACCAATATGAGAGAGTTGGTATAACTATACTCTCATGCATTTCCCTCATTGCTTCCATGGACAAAGTTCTCTGTCTCCACAGACTCCTCAGTGCACCACTCACCTTTTTCCCTCTTCAATTCTATGATTCACCTCATCTTTCATGGACCCATCAGCTGATACGCCTACTCCTATATATCTGAATACTTTCACCTCCTCCATACTCTCTCCCTCCAGTTTGACACCGAATCTTTCGTTACCTAATAATTTTGTTACTTCATCATCTTACTCTTTCCTATATTCACTTTTAATTTTCTTCTTATACATACCCTACCAAACTCATTTACTAACCTCAGCAATTTCTCTTTAGAATCTCCCAGAAGTACAGTGTCATCAGCAAAGAGCAACTGTGACAACTCCTACTTTGTGTTAGATTCTTTATCTTTTAACCCCATACCTCTTGTCAATACCCGAGCATTCATGTCTCTTAAACCCCATCTATAAACATTTTGAACAACCATAGTGACATCACACATCCTTATCTAAAGCCTACTTTACTGGGAAATAATCTCCATCTCTCCTACATACTCCAACTCTTCACTGCTTTCAATAACCTATCTCTTATTCTATACATCTGCAACATCTGCCACATTGCCCCCTGTCCACCCTGTCATAAGCCTTTTCCAAATCCATAAATACCACGAAAACCTCTTTACTCTTACATAAATAATGTTCTATATGTTTCACTGTAAACACTTGGTCTACACACCCCATACTTTTCCTAAAGCCTCCTTGTTCATCTGCAATCCTACTCTCTGTCTTACTCTTAATTCTTTCAATAATAACTACCAGGTATATACAACAGACTTATTCCCCTATAATTTTTTCACTCTCTCTAGTCCCCTTTGCCCTTATACAAATGAACTATGCACGTTCTCTGCAAATCCCTGGGTACCTTACCCTCTTCCATACTTTTATTGAAGGTGATCTAATTGTTTTCTCCCATATATTTCTCATCGGTGCCAAAAATTCATTAGTAATATGTGCTGTAGATAGAAAGCAAACAATTTTTAGCCAAAAACACAAATCTATAAAAAATAAAGATTATATAAAAAATTAAACTTCTGGGCATTTACCTCCGAAGAGAAGAAAAACTTTGGACTGTTCCTGGAAACACTGTAATACCTAAGGAGTTGACTGGCTGGTGTAGTGAGCTATATATAAGGAGGCGCTACCTTCATCTTGACACAGTCGACCCAGAGATCCTCCACAACCATGAACGTCCTGGTCAGTTACACATTACATTATATTGCTTTATATATGTATCCTAGGTTGTAATAACTTTACAAGTTTAAAATGCTGAGATAACACTTTTCCCACTGACTTACAACTTAATAACCATCAAATATTGTCCGAGACATCGCACAGTTTCCTTCTCTATCTCGGGAGTTTGTGATTCTTTCACAGTCATTTATATATAACTTTCAAGTCTAAAACGTTAAAGTAATCACTAATATAATTGTGAATTATTTTTTAATAATATAAATTAACAATTCTTAGTAGTCATTACTGATTTATTACTGAATTTCTCATTTATGGTTTGAAGAGTTTAAAAAATTTTAAGGATTACTTTTTCATTTTTTTAAGTAACTGAAGCAGAGCGTTGTTTTATGTGAATCATATTCTTATATCAGAAATATTTAAATTCCGACTGACATTTTAATTCAGAATATTTTAATCCCAAAGAGTTTATATACAATAAGATAATCCTGACTAATGTGTATAAGTTCTATATTATGATATTATTTTGTTATTGCTTAGAAACTTTGAATTAAAAGAGACTCATTAAAGTTGTTATTCACTTTATCACAAATATCAAAGATATTTTTATTTCTAAGTTAAGGCTTAAAGTTAATTCTTCTTCAACTAGAGAAAGATATTTGTTTATGGATTATTTTATTATTATAATTCAAGGGGGAAGCGCTAAACCCGGAGGATTATACAGCGCCTGGGGGGGGGATGTGGAAGGCATTCAGGCTTAATTCGGGGAACTGGAGCACAGATCCAATTCCCTAAATCAAGAGCCCCTCACCAACATCAAGGAACCTTCCTTGAGGGGTTTGTTTTATGGAACATCTTCACTACTTACCCGGAGTTACATCCCAAAAATATTATTAAACTTAAATTCAGCAACTTCAATAAAATACAAAAAAAAAATCATTAATATACATTTTCAGTTGATGAAAACGGTCTTGCTTTCAAAAAAAGTATGTTTTATAATGTTTCCTCTGCAAAAAATTTTTTAAATTACCAAAAATAATATCACTGGCAAAGTAAAATTAATTTATATTTTCATACAATTTTTTTTGTTTTAATTGACTCCAGCTGCAACGAGAATGTCATTGGCACCGAATAATATCTACCACACGATGCATTAAAGTTTTCCTAACTGGTAGGCCTAATGATCTTTGAGCTGTTGAAAAGCTTGAAAGAAAATAACCAACCATCTGTCTTATCTAATAACTATACGCAGAAGATATATCTCCATGGAAGTATATATAAATTCTATGTAAATATTTCAGTGACCCTGGCGTACTCGAGAAGATTTAAACCCAATTAACCAACCAACCATGTTCATTTTTCATTATTTCGTAATCACCCAGATAAATTATTAATTCCTCTTTGGGATTATATACATGAAAAAAATATATTGAAGGCAGCATATTCTTATAATTCTTTTTAATCAATTTTAAAATCGATCATTATTAGCTGTAGTTGCATGATTTTTTAGTCAAGTAAGTTTTACAATATTAAACAGTGTGCAATGGAGTCAGAAAATATTTTTAACCATTGAAAATCAATGTATATTCTTTTCAATATATTTGGCTTAAAATACAAAAAACATATACACCGCTTTCATAAATAATCTTTCATACAAAATACCAATTAGAATGAGCTTTTGTAATTTATTACTACACTGTGGAAAATTTAGCAGGAATCATAAGCACCATGAATTTATAAGTAACTTTACCCATACAACATGTATAGTTATAATAATTCTCTGTACAATGATAATTCAGTTATAATATAAACTGTGTTCATCCTTCAGGTCATTGTTGGCGTCCTGGCCGCATTCTGCATTGCGGTCATAAACGCTGCTCCTGCCCCAGATGCCGAGCCTGGCCACTTTGGAGGCTTCAGTGGAGGTTTTGGAGGCTTCAGAGGAGGATATGGTGGCTTCGGGTACCGTGGGAAGAGGAGTGCTGAAGCTGACCCAGAGGCCGACGCTGATCCTGAAGCTGATCCCGGTCGCTTTGGTCATGGAGGATTTGGAAGTTTCGGAGGAGGCTTCGGAGGCTTCGGTGGAGGATATGGTGGATACCGAGGAAAGAGGAACGCTGAAGCTGATGCTGAGCCTGAAGCTGATCCCGGTCACTTTGGTCATGGAAGCTTTGGTGGTTTTGGAGGAAATTTTGGAGGCTTCGGGGGAGGATATGGCGGATACCGAGGAAAAAGGAAAGCGTTTTTTCTTATTAAATATTTGAAAGAAATAAAGTACATTTTTGACTTTGTTCAAAGTGCAGGGTAGCAGCAGGAATGTTTTTGAACTTGGGCCAGTTTTGGTCATTTTGGAGTGAAATCAGTTCTTCCTCCCCTTTCCTGTTTCCTCATTCTGATATCAAGAATGGTTGATCCCCAGTCTGGTTTTTTTAAAGCTAAAAAAGAACCCAAAATTGTCAACAGCTTTAAAAAATTTTTCGGTGTTTACAAACCCTTTTGGAGGTCATCGTTTGGCACATATGCTCTTCCCAATTAAGGGGCTGGGAAAATGGAAAGCTCCGACGAGCTATGTTACGTTTGAAAATTAACCTAGACAGAAAAGTGAAAAAGTAGTTTTTTGGCTTTAATTAATTAACCTCTTTCCCCTTGAAACTTCAAATTAACTTCGTTGACGGGGGATACTAGAAAAATAAATCATCTTCTTTTTTATTTATCTCACAGAACAAATTGGATTTTGGGAAAAAAATTCATTCAACGTTTTAAAAAATAAATAGGAACGTCTCAGAATTTTCCCTTGGCAACCATCAAAAACTTCTGTGTACAACAACAAACTTACAAAACAGATCTCCAAAGGTCGGAATTGATTCGTGTCCTTGATTTTTTTTATTTTTGGACAAAAATTCTTTTGTTTATGAATTCAACCAAACAGGGTTTTTTGCAACCCGATTTTTCTTTTGGATTACACAGTGCACCGTAAACACACCAGACAGTTGTTTTCAAAAACTGATGAACCACGATGACAACCTTCATGGATGGACCCCATCTGCTGCAAACAAGAATGTTAGAAGCGGGTGTCTTTCTCTTTGAAACAAAAACCAAAACCCAAAAAACTGACTCCCCTTTTGTATTTTTATTGCTTGTAAATTAAAAGCCTTTAACAAAAAATTTCATCTTGACAAAAGAAAATAGGAAACAAACTTTTTGCCTTGCAGATGACTTATTAATTGTAACCAAATCTTTGACTTAACATATTTCACAAGTGTTATCATTTTTTTCATCCCTTTTTATCCCCTCTTCTTTTTAAAGCGTACTGAAGGGGTAACTTTAATAATTTTTAAATAAATGCGTAAAGCTGTGCGCAGAACCTCACTGCTGGCGAAAAATCTTTCCCAATTGTATGAGGCATACCCTCTAGAATCACATGGATATTGTATGACACACAAAAACCCTCAAGGATTGTTTTTAACGTAGCAAAATTTTCAATGGTTTTCCGTGTCTTAAGTTTTCCGAAGTTTTTTTTTTTTTATTTTAAACTTACAATACATCAAAAAATAAATAAAATTCCACATAAACTGACCCAAACAGGGTTTAAATATCGTGCCTAAAAACACACCACCCACAACGATGTAGGAATACACCCCTCCCCCTTTTTCCCCCAAAAGAAAAAAAAGGGATAAAAAAAAATATAACAAAAACCATTACACCTTCACGTCGGGCATAACGTAAAGACCGCTTTTTTCCCCAACCTCAAAAACCCCTTCTTTGGTTTTTGGGATGTATCAGAAAAAACAAAACAAACAAAAGCATGAAAAAATGAAAAACCCCATAATATTTCAGCAGGGTTAAAAACCCTTTTTTAACTTAAACTCCACCGCACAAACGGACGGGAAAAACTCCCCCCCCCCCCTCCTTTTTCCCACCCTCCCCTACTTTTAACTTAACATGTTATCAAAGATTTTAAAGCGATATCAGAAAAAAAAGAAAAAGACATTTCAAACTTGTAAAACATCCCCAATAAAAATTTCCCCAGGCCCCTGGGGCCCCACCACCACCCAAACCATTTTTCCCTTTTCCTCTTCTCCCACACCCCCCTTCCCAAACTACAGAACCTTTTTTATACTTAATTTCAAATTTTTTCCATAAGTCCCCTCGGGGGGTTTAACCCCGAAAAAACCGCCCCCCCCTTTCCCTAAAATTCCCCTTTTAACCAAACTTTTTTTCCTGTAAAAAACCCCTACCTCCAACCCCCCCCCACCCTTCCCCCACAAAAAATTTAAAAATCCCATTTTAAAACCAAGTCCCACTCACCCACCCCCTCCCCACCCTGGGCCACCCTTCCCATACCATTCCTTTTCCCCCCAAACCCCCCTTACCCTGGGTTGGGGCCCCCCTCCCAATAACCAAAAAACTCCCCCTTCCACAACCATATTAAACCCCAAAAAAACCATCAGGAAAGATACAGACCCAAAACCCAATAAAACCCAACTAAAAACATACCCCCCCCCAACTAAAAATCCCCCCCGCACCAACCTTCCAAATCTTTCACCCCCTTTCCCCCCCTAAATGCCCAAACACATAACATTGTTACACCCCCCCGCAACGCCCCCCGCAAAACCCTCTATTTTGCACCGGGGGCCCTCTCCCCACAAAACCCCACAGAAAAAAATTTCCCCCTAAATAAACACTTTTAACACGAACAGGGCATAAACCCAAGTGGAAAACCGCACACTACCCCTTTTATCAACAATCCCCCCCCTCCAAGTTTCAACCCCTGAGACTGCTAATTTTTTTGTCTAAACCTCCCCTACTCCGACCTTTTAAATTTTTGGTCCCTTTTCTCTTGTTGGGTCCCGTTCCCCCCTCTTGCTCCCCCCTTTCCCTATCTTACGAGTTGCTCCTCGCCTCCATTACTCTTTTAAGCCGCCCCACCCCGGACTCCCCAAAACCCTCTTATCCTTCCCATCCCTGTCTTTTTTTTTTGGTTTTTTTCCTGCCTGCCCCCCCCGTAAACCTCCCCTTTCCCCCAAAATGCTTTCTCCCCCCCGCTTTTTTTGGTCCCCAACCCCTTGGGGTCTTCCTTTAAACTTCCCCCCCCCGGGGCACCCTCCAAACCCCCGTTCATGAAAAACCCGTGTACAACCATTTAAATTCACCTACACCCACAACCTCATGTACAACATTTCAACAAACCCCCACGATTTCCTCCCCAACACCCTGTCAGAGGAGAATGCTCCTCAAAGCCCCCTTTCCACTCTATCATATGCCCCCTTCCAATCCAACACTAACAACCCCACCTCTTCCCCCTTTCCAGTTTTTCTATGAACCCCTTAAGGATCCTGTGCCCCATTACCATCGACCTGACTGGCAACCCAAATTGACTCTCCAACACCACCCTCCCCATGACATATTTGAGGCAGTTTCCCAAGACCTTCGCAAACAGCTTGTAATCAGCGCACAACAACGAAATGGCTTGGTAATCCCAAATGGTACTCTGATGCTTCCCCTTTGGCACCAGCACCACCACTGCTATGGCCTGCATCTCACCCAATGTACCCCTCTCATCAAATTCATCAACTGAAAGAGAAATCCCCACAGCAGCTCCCAATGCTGCATGTAAAATTCACATGGTAGACCATCAATACCGGGTGCCTTTCCCCTGCTCATCTCCATAAGTGCCTTCCAGATGTCCTCCTCTTCAATGGCCTCTCCTAGTGCCTCTCTATCACTCCTCCCCAGATTGCGCGCCATGCACCCACACACTCCTTCTAAATCCGTCCTCTCCACCCCACAACTTTTCCAATACTCCTTGTACCATCTATCTACATATGCACTCAGACTTTCTGTTGTCCCCCAAAACTTGACCCACTTGATATGCCCCCACCGAAGAGTGGACTTCCAAGTATGGAACAGTAGTGGCCTGCTGCTTCAGCTGCTGGCTGTGATGCATGCATGCAGAAGACTGATTCCTCAATAAAACCTCCTCCACACCTGCCTGCACCAGTACTGCTTCAAAACACTCCTCCTACAACTCACATATCCTCCCCTTCAACATGTTAATTTCCTCTACTGGATAAGTCCCCACCACCACCCCTTGCCCATAATCCCTTAACCTCTCCTCTAAGTAATTTGTTAGACCATACTGCAATTGATTAATGTGCTTACCTTCTTGCACATAAAACTGACGGATCCATACCTTTGCCACACTGTCTCACCAACCCACCACATCCTCCACCCCCTCCCCTCCTCCTGAAGTTGCTCCCACAAGGTTGCAAAACCCCCTAACCCCTCCTCATCCAAAAGAACCCTCGTGTTCAGTTTCCAATATCCCCAATGCCTTCTTGCCATCGTCGCCCACCCCATCTCTGCCATAACTATATGATGACCTGAATATGTCGCTTCAAAGTACCCGCTGCGATAGATACAGTCTGTCTTAAAGCGCTGCATATCCTTGCCTCACGAAAATATGCTCCACATCCCACAATCCTCCCCCAAACACATCCCATAATTGAATATCCCGAATAAGGTTCCCTAATGCAGTGGAAAAGTAACCCACTCCCCTGGGCACCACATCAGCCGCCAGATGATACAATTCCAATCCCCACCCACAATCACCACAGATGACAGCGTGCATAGGAAATACATGAGTTCCTCACGCACAAATGCCGTCTTCACCCACACATCACTTTCAGTCACTTTCAGCCGGCACATACACACATACAAATGACACATGCTCACCCATCCCCCCACCCATCCACATGCATGATCCGCCCCTCACCCACTCCTTCACTCCTATGCAAAACACACCACCCTCCCAGATCAAGATCCCCACACCCCCTTTCAAACAATCGTACGGTAGTACAAATGCCTGATATCCATCCACTACCAACATGCGGCCAACCTTAAATTTATGTTCTTGTACAAAGACCATGTCCACTTTATATTTGTACAAAAACCTCCAAAACACTCACACATCACAGCATCACACAGTCCATTGACATTAACAATCACACACCTGAGGCCGACTTAATGGTTCCATCCCCGCCACCCCACGACGCTCTTCCCAGTCCCACCATTACCTGAGGCACCACCTTTGCCATGCTCATCACTCACTGCCCCAACCCCTCCAACAACCTGCTTATGCTGCTTGCCATGGGTGCCATGGTGAACCCCGTCAACCCATACCTTCTACCTGGGCCATTGTGCCAGCATCAGGACATCATTCGAATCTGATGCCACCACTCTCTTCCATGTGGCGACCTCCTCCTCCTCCATGTCAGTGTCCTGGGAGACCACACAATGGACCTCCAC